ATCTGCTTTACTTACAGGTACGGGCTCTGACCCTGTTGAAGGTTTTGTACAGGCGCTGGCAACTCCCCTATAATCTCTGGTATAGAACTCGTTCTCCAAACGATGCTGCACCAATGTAGTGGGTTGGGAAGGAAAAAGCCAATTTTTTGGCTAATTATATGCCTCATTAATTTTAATCAATATTAATTAGAGGACATGTTTCCAAATTCAGAAAATTCTTTTCCATATTTATCTAATCAATTTCCTCGCCACTGGAATAGTTAAAAATAAATTTCCATAATTTTTTTTGCTGGGTATATGCAACATTGCGTGTGGCGCCCTCCCTCTCTTGGGGTGAAGTACTATGATGCCGGTGGGGTCACTCAAAACCTCAGAACTGAACCTCTACTTTAGTCAATCCTCTTTGGATCCATCCTCTTTGCTAATAATCTCCACCTTTACCAGAGATCCGCCTTTACCGCTCATATGTGATATATATATATTTATACATAACCCGACAATTTATGTGCCCACGGTTGGCAGTAGTTATATATTTATTTGATAACTAATGATGAACTGTTGTGGAAATTGAACTGCCCCGAAAATATGTCAGAACAACTTAATTTCATGTGAATGTGATGTATGTAAATAAACATGCGTGGATGAGTTAATAGTCTCATTGACAGGTGCAAGTGTTAAACGATCTATCGACTGACAACATTCACCTATCGTGGCTCAATTTACACGACAGTATTCCTCCGAGCCTAGTGGTAGTTGGTGTCAATTTGTCTTCTACGAATGTAATCATCCAAAAAAAAACAGGGAAATAAAAAAAAAGTGCAATAATTTCCGGATCATAAGGATCATACGATGAGGCTTAAGTTGACGAGGAAGTACAAAATTAATGGTCAATGTTACAACCCATCTGTTCGCTGTTAAAATGGTGAAGGAGATTTTCAATTATTTCTGGAGATATGTAATTTTTTTATATGTTGGCGGTTATTAGAAGCAATTTGCCGTTTTTTTATTTTTTTCATTTTCATATACTTGGATCACTGTTTCTGTCGATGATGAGGAATGTGCAATGCACCGTTGACTTCTTTATTTTTACTATTGCAGTGTGAGTTGAATTAATACGATTTTTTGTTCCAGGGTGCAAATATATCTCAGTTGGAACGCAATATTGGAGCTGATCAATTCCCTCCGAATGAGCATTATTTCGGATTAGTGAATGTAAGTTTTGTATTCCGTCGGTGTTCTGGTCCTTGAGGAGAGATATCGAATGGATTTATAAATTCATTTTAAGATTGTTATGATTTTACATACATCCAGTGTGTAAGGCTTCAGAGAGATCCGAAATGTTATTAACAGTTCATGATAAAAACCAGCTGTACTTCACATCTCCATCACTTTTTGTTTGTAATTTCTTCATAGAAATGGATTACATATTTATTGATGCACTCATGACTCATTTTTTGAGAAGGTCTTTAAATTGAAATGTTCATAGAAGTCTATCAAGAGAACTTTTTTGTGAAAGTACGGACAACTTTGTGTAATTCTTGTTGAACGGATCGCAGTGAAATAGTACTATATACTATAGTAACAATAGTAAGAGTAATTTTTAAAAGCTTTTGCTTTATTCTTTCGAAACAATCGTTACGTAATTCCGGCAGTCACTAATCCATAACGTGTGAAATAATGATAAATTCTAAATTGCGTGTAAACAAGCTAATTAGTGATCGAAATTTCCTTTTTCAGTTTGGAAATACCTGTTACAGCAATTCTGTGCTGCAAGCCCTGTATTTCTGCCGGCCATTTCGAGAAAAGGTGTTGGAGTACAAAGCTCGAAACAAAAGAACTAAAGAGACTTTGCTGACATGTCTGGCAGACTTATTTTATAGTATTGCAACTCAGAAAAAGAAAGTTGGTTCCATAGCCCCAAAAAAGTTCATTGCAAGACTCAGAAAAGAAAAGGAAGAGTTTGACAATTACATGCAGCAAGATGCACATGAATTTTTGAACTTTCTTATAAATCACATTAATGAAATTATTTTAGGTAAGCTGGAAAACTTTTTAAATAAATCTACGCAAACTCTTTAAATGTTATATCCAACTTTCATTGATAATGAACTAACTTTACTTCTGAGTGATTCTGACAGAAAATTTCAAACGACTTCTTGAAAACTAATAGTTTCCAGGTGAAAAGAATAGTGGTATCTTCCTGTTATTTCGATAATTTATCAATGGAATGTCTCTTATGAAATAAGTGCAAAAAATGGTACTTTGGACGTTTTGCGCGCAGTGAACTCCCACTTTTCACCACTATTATGAAATTTTGTACAATGCAAGTGAAAAAAAGGACTTTCTGACAAATGATTACAAGCCTCACCTTGAGCTCGGCCGTTACATGCGTCAGAAAATTGTTTTCTTGACTTGTATCGTCATATGCTGTTTTAGCAGTGAAAGTTCTGCTGAAGAATCCTTCTATAGCTTCTTGTCAAAACACTGATTCGTTTATTGATTGTACATTTTTATGGTTCTATGGTAGGCTTCAGAAATGAATAATTCTGAAAGGAAGAAGGTCTTTTGGAGATAAAATAATAATGAATGAATGGATCATTCTATGATTGTTAGCTTGGTTTGCTTCAAAATTGGGTCGCAGTGGATCCATTGTGGATAGAACAAATAATTCGTCGAATAAGTCTCTATCTTCCGGTTCTTTTTCATTGTTATTTCTTTTTTTATTCTTTCCTGTCATATTTCTTTCATTATTTTCTCTTCCATTTTTTCTTATGTACTTTCTTTGTCAAATCCAATATCTACCTATTTTTGCGTTAAAAGATGAGAGTTGGTTATGAAATCTGTAACGATTTCGCTCAATATCATAGATTATATAGAAGTGCATTGATTATCGGAGATATTAAAACTATTCTCTAATGACTTCTCCTATTCCTTACTTAAATTATTCTACTTCGTAATTCCACAATGCTTAATGTAAAAAAAACATTATAGATACATCTCATATCTCTTTGCAAATCGGGTGTTGATCTTTCTTCATATTCAAATGATTCATTCCCGACATAATTATATAATGATTCATTGAATGTGATTTTCGTAAATTCTTCATTTTCTTAATCCGTCCATCACTTTTTTTCAATTACAGCCGAGAGGAATCAAAGTAAAACGAGTGGTGGAAAAGGTGGAACAGGGGAGTCGGGTACACCACCAGAGCCAACATGGGTTCACGAGATATTTCAGGGTATACTAACGTCAGAGACACGTTGCCTTAATTGCGAGACTGTGTCCAGTAAAGACGAGGATTTTTTTGATTTACAAGTCGATGTAGATCAAAATACATCCATCACTTACTGCCTAAAATGTTTCTCAAACACTGAAACACTCTGTAGTGACAATAAATTTAAATGCGATCACTGCAGCAGTTATCAGGAAGCTCAGAAACGCATGAGGTTAAAAAAATTGCCGATGATACTTGCATTGCATTTAAAACGATTTAAATATGTTGAACAGTATAACCGACATATAAAAGTATCACACAGGGTGGTTTTCCCGCTCGAGTTGAGACTTTTTAATACTGTGAGTTGATCTATTAATGCCCATCCGTTTTTTTTTTTGACAACAATTTTTTTCGGTGATGTTGGAATCATTGGATTTATTTTTTAGAGCGATGATGCCGTTAATCCAGATCGTCTTTATGATTTGGTAGCTGTTGTTATCCATTGCGGAAGTGGGCCTAATCGTGGACATTACATCTCCATTGTTAAAAGTCATGGGTTCTGGTTGCTGTTTGATGATGACGCAGTGGATGTGAGTTCTATATTGAAGGTCTCGATGGACCACTTATCGAAAACGATCTTTTGTTTGGATTCTGTCTTGTTCACCTAAAATATATTAAATATTGGGTTTAAATTTGTACTGCGGCAGCCATTCGAATAGTTATAAAAAGATAACGAAAAAAGAGCGGAAAAATTATTGAAGGGCGCTAAATCGCGATGGAAAGAAATCTACCAAGTTTGAAAAAAATTTTTTTTTAAATACACCACTTACCACTTGTCTAGCAGCGTCTATCACTCAATCCTGTGGGGAGCAATAATAAGCTGCGTATTTCTTATTATTCTTTTGTAAACTTGGTAGATCCCTTTGAATCAATATGGCGATTTAGCCCTCTTCAATAATTAATAATTAATAATAATTAATAATTAATAATTAATAATTAATAATAATTAATAATTAATAATTAATAATTAATAATAATTAATAATAATTAATAATTAATAATAATTAATAATAATTAATAATAATTTTCATTATATTAATAATGTTTCCTCTTTTCTTTTTCGTTATCTTTCTGTAACTATTCAGCTGGCTCCCGTCGCACAAATTTGATCCTAAAATTTACGTTTCAGGCTGACACGATAAGATTTAAACAAAAGATGACGTTCGATAGATGGTCCACCCGAAGTCAAAATTCTATGTATTAACGCAAATGAAAATAATTCGAAAAATTTACCGGACGCGGAAAGAACTAATAAGCTTCTAGTCATCTCATTTTTAGATCCTGAATTTGATATAATCATTTCTCATCATTTAAATTTGCTGTGCGCATTTCTTACAATATTTACATTGCAAGTAATACCTATTATCGATAATATTTCATATTTTATCAGTCCCTGACATAAATCAGTTGTTTTTTGTTCTAGAAAATTGATGCATCGAACATAGCTGATTTTTACGGTCTCACCTCAGATATACATAAGACCTCTGAGACTGGTTATATTCTCTTCTACCAATCACGAGACTGCAATCAGTGAAAAGAATGTGCAAAACAAAATTGAATGAATGAAGGAAGCAAAACACTAATGTGACAATTATTAAGATTAAGAGAAAAGTGAAAGGCGAAACACTTTGCAGGCTTTTTCGTTTTCTTCTTTAATACTCTATTTTCTCATGAGAAAACAAATTAAATATTTCTTTTATTTATTTCGATTGTCTCCCTGAACTAGTCCGTATTGAAGTAAAAAAACAGAAGAACGAACTGGTTTGCATTAGTTACGTAGTGAATAATTGTGAAGTTATATTCAAGAGAAATAAAATGCCGATAGCAATCAGTTTATCAAGTTTGTATGAAAAGACCGAATTTAAAAGAAAATAAAAGAAAATTTAACTATAGTGGCCACTAAAAAATGTGTTTTTTTAATAACTCATGATTTCATGAGTTATCATCGAAGCCCCAGCATAAATTATAGTAATTATTGAATTTGATCGTCACAAATTAGAAATAGTAGTTATCATGGAGCTTTTGAAATATCTGTTATACAAGTAAATTATAATTATCGAAATGTTACTTTGGCCTTGAAAATTGGACATTGATTTACTATCAAAATTACATTGAATATTCGATAAATGAGCATTATGCCATTATCGCCTATAGTGGTCAAATAATAGTATTGACGACTGTTTGCAGTGGACTTCATAAATAAAATCTAACAACATTCCAATTCCACATGGGAAAAATCCTTTTATTCTTTTTAAAGGAAATTTGAAATGAATTAAGCAATGAACTCGTATGGGACTGGAGCCAGGAGGATAGGTGCATCGCGACCAGAGACTATATGCGCCTTTGAAGGTTGTTTTGGTTGTCTCTTCAACTGGACAGAAATTTTCTTCTCCTTGGCTTCCTTCCTCAGCTTCTCATTCTGCTTGACCCTCTTGAGGAAATCTTCACGACACTTGGAATGGGTCAAGTGCTCGATCCGTACATTTATCCTCTTAGCAATGATCCTTCCACGTACACGTTTGTTAACGATTACTCCAAGTGCATGGGGTGTGACATTAAAGACACGTCCGGTCTTACCATGGTACACTTTGTATGGCATACCTTTCTGCACAGCTCCATTACCTTTAATGTCCACGATGTCTCCAACTTTATACACTTTCATGTACGTAGAGAGAGGAATTGTTCCATGATTCCTGAACTTACGAGAAAATAAGTCTCGTGTACCACGACGATAACCCTTCGAATTAGTCATAGCGATCGAGCGTTCTGTGAAGAATGAAACAACGTTTTTTTTAGGTTATGTCTTCATTTTTAACTCGGCGAATTCGCCTTAAACCTTCATCAGTTTTGATTGATTCGTTTACATATAAATAACTAGATCGTTTTAAGTAATAATCGCTTTGACGTGTGGAAGCACAAGTTAACGGCAATTGAGAAAATGAAAGAATCTTTTGTCAAATGCACGTGGCAGGTTCGCATTGATGGGGTTGAATTGAAAATACAAAAGCAAAGACGACTATTCATTGCCGTTTTCCCAATTATAAAATATTTAATTCTCAGGATTTAATCGTAGGTAACGCTTTGTTTAATGCTATTTATTTATAAAAATCAAGTTCTATGAAAAGAGGTGAATTTACCTTACAGCAAACGTCGCGTTCAGACAGAAAAAGAGAAAAAGAGAGGTTCCTTGTAACGACGTTATCGCAGCACATCTGCGACACCGCCGTATACTTGGCGCACTAATTAATCCCCTCCGTCGATGTCTTTATGTAACGGCGCACGTTCATGCGATAATACCTTATTAAGGCAAGGATGGACC